AGTCAAGTCAGAATCCGCTAAGTCAAGTCAAGTCTGCTAATATACCAATAATTGGATCCATATAATGCTAACCAATAAGGGGCAGAATAAGCTAGATACAGGAGTTTCTGGAAACTACTTATACTAGCTACTGAAAACTGCACTCTATACTAATCTGGTGTTAGGGCACCAGCTCATTGGTTGGTCAAGAGACATGACTAAGCCTTTATGACATGGAAGTAGCTGGTATACCTTGGCATGTGCTGGAACCTGCTGGGAGGATTGGATGGTCAGGTGACCTGCTGTGCATGGCTGTGCATGACCTCATATGACCTCATCCTTGGTCATATGACCTGATCACCTGACTAGGCTGAGTAAGCAAGATGTTCTAGCAGGTTCCACCACAGAGGTATAAATATAAGGCCTACTCTGCCTGGGGACTGTCTCTTCAGACTTGGTCTCTTAGGATCATCCACAGGTACCTATACTGTAGATAGGTCTTAGTCATCAGGTCTACTCCACTTCCTTGTTGCCTGCTTAGACTCTTGGCACTCTTAGGTGAGCAGACTTAGTCAGCCTGTGTTGCCCTAACATCTGGTCTCTAGATACCTCTCTAAGGCAAGCATTGGCATGCCAAATATCCATGGTGGGTCAAGGCTTGTTGCTGGGGTGCATTGTGCGTGTAGTAAGGGTCCATAGTGCCACACAATGGTCTCTAAGGTCCAAAAATAACTGTGGGAATACTGGCCTGACACACCCTACCAGAGGTGGGGTTGTTCATCCCCCCCAAACCTTGAATACTAACTCCCCAAGTCAGTGGGGCCACAGGTGACATAGTGTGCAGCCAGGAATGCCATGCAGAACCACCAAATATCGAGTTAAGTGAGAGCAGCATTATCAAGGACCAATCAGGAGACTCTCTGCTGTAAGACATCAGGCCACAGATTGGGGTGCTAGTAAAATGGCGGTGTTGCTGTATTTGGTGAAGGGTATTGCTGCACATTTGGTGCTAAGGGTGGCTGGCTGGTGTGTGAAGACCCTAAGCAGTGGCTTGCAGCACTGCCTAAGTCTGCTCGAGGGACCCTGACCGCATTTTTCGCATTGAGTCGCGTGGTGCCTGAGACCCTGATTGGCCGATTTGTTCCTTTGCGAAGCCTGGTGTGGTGTTTATCTGCGCTGCCTTAGCTGAAACAGTGTTCCAGATATTGGCACTTAGCAGGGCCCATGCGCATTTTTGTTTTCTGCTGAGGTGCATTCACGCCTATAAATGGGACCAAATTTTGCCTTTCCTGTCCCTGCAGATCTCAACTGAACCCCTGCCTCCACTTACTCGCATCCCCACGCTCCGAAATGGCCAAGCCCAGCACTGGCAAGTCCGCCGCCAAGCCAGTGCCGCCGAAAGACGAGCACACCATGCTCAAGACGGCCGCCCCTATCGTTGCCCGCATGTGTGAAGATGTGGAGGATCCCGGATTCTTGCCGTTGGTGAAGTATCCGGACGTTGCACCATTCAGCAATGCGGTCGCGTTGCTCCTCCATAGTCCCCAGTCCACCCTTGTCCACGATTTGCCTGAGAAATGGGTCTGACTTTTCGCCCTTGACCAGCAAGAAGAGCTGGCCGCCTTGTCTGCGCCGCCCGAGGAGGAGGAGGAAGAGGAGGAGGAGGAGAAGAAGTTTAAGGTGATGTTGTCCGGTTTTTCAGTAAGTGTTTCCTTTTTTGCGAGCCGATTACCTTTACTAACCCGAATTATACAGACATCCCTGGGGAGCCTGGCCAGTCCCTTGATGAAGGCCGAGAAGGGCAAGGCCAAGGCCAAGGAGACAACGTTGGCAAAGTCAGTCATGCCGCGCCTCGATGATGGCATGGATGAGACACCGCCTGTGATCAGGGTGCACGGGAGGCCGATGAAGGAGGATTCCCGCAATGTGGTAAGTCAGCCTTTTTCCTCTTTGCGCTTTGAAGATGCTGACCAAAATATTGCAGGGGTGGATCCCGGAAGAGACGCTGGTAAAGGTGTTGCTGGCTACGACAGATGCCGCGGTGTTGGAGTCGTTTGCGGCTGAAAACTGCATGAGTCGTCCCCACTTTTCATGCTCCAGTTAACTTTTCTGATGCATTTTTCTCCTCTATTATATCAAGCTGCGTGTGGAGGTCCCGGGTACTCTCATACGTTTTACCGGCATACCTGCCACAAGCCCCTCGTCCAACTGTACAACGCGCGACAGAAAGATGCCTGATCCAATCAGAGTTGGGGAGAGAAGGCCGGAAGAGTTGCTTATCTCTGCAATCTCCATACGCTGCAGCGCGCATGACTCTGTCGAGATGATTGAGGTACCAGGACAACGTCTTGTCACCAAGCACTCTTTCACCCGGAGACTGCGGCCCAGATTCTCCAAGACAAGTTTAGAGGGTGAAGCGCGAGAATACCCGGGCAAGCACTGTCGGGGGAAGAGGGGAATCGTACCGTTTGAACACATTGTTGACAGGAGGTGTATCTCCGTGCGCCGATAATATGCACTATTAGGGGTTATACAGTACTGGAATTGTGGGTGCTAGTGCCCTACTACGCTTAGGAATATTAGACATGCAACACGGTGAGGGCATAGCAGAGGATCAGATAGATTTCGATCCAGATTACGTCTGGCTGTGAATCAGACAGAAGTTCGTGTATACGCAGACTAGCTTACAATGTGTATCTTGCGCTGGTACTTCATTTTCCCCTTAACATCCTCACCAACCCACTTCTTCCCCAGCGCTCTAGATCCATTTCACCCCTTTTTTCCTCTGCAACATTGACCTCGTTACGAGCATCAACCCGGACCCAGCTCCGAAGCACACCTGCCACAAGTGAGTCAAGACTCACACTCGGGGAGAATGTGGGCCACTTGAACGTACACCGGCGAAAACAATCCCTTTCCACCATGTGAAGGGCCCGTAGCCGATCAGAGCGCCTACTATCGGGCTGCCAGTGAGGACCGCCAGAGAGTAGACGAAGAACGACAGGCCCATGCGTACCCTGTGTGCGATCAGAGGTAGTAGGGAGGAAGGGTGAGAGACTGGATTACCCCACTTCGGCCATGCTATTAGCCATAAGAGCGATCATGGGCGGGAACAAGCTGACCACTTTCCCTAGTTGTGAGTAACTCAATACACTCAGAAGGGATGACGTACCCGCCCACCCGCCCCGGAAAAGAACCCGTACAGGACACAAAAGGCGATTATCCCGGGCTGGGTCTTGATAGACAAGAGGACGAAGACGAGGACAGTGCTGATGATCGTGCTTGGGATTTGGCAAGTAATCGGTCCGAATCGGTCTGCAAAAATGGTGGGTATGAATCTGGGGACGTTAGCCCATTATGCAGGGATTGGGGGAGAAGAGCACCGACCGGCCAAAAATAGATGCCCCATTCATTATTGTGAGCTGGGCCGATGAGTTCTTGATCTGATTGTGAGTGGGGGATGGCTCACTGTGTAGAAGCTGATGTTCTGGTCTAGACCGATGGTGATAGAATACAGCTGAATGTAGAAGACTGGAGCTCGCTCAGCATGGGCTTCTTTCTCTTAAAAAAGGACTGACATGGGAAGACTAGCAGAGCGGATTAGCATCATTCTCCAGCGGATTGCGCCGACGCACATATTCCAAACCCGGTAAAGAACGCACTCAGTGTGCCGATGAGATACGGCAAGTCCGTGAGCAGTGTCTTCAGTTTCGGAGGTGGGAGGGAATTGTGTGACGGGTTGTAGTTCGGGCGAATAAGTAGGTTGGCAAGCACTAGTCCGCCGAGGAGGAGGTACCCTGTTGCTCGCACGGAGGTTGTAAAGCCGTGTGATTGCAAGACCTTGTTGATCAGGACTGGGTGTGTGAGTCAACGTTTCTGCAGCATAGATGCTTACTCACTGGGGAAGATGACACCGCTGCCTCCTGTCAGTACGTAATGTGACGGTTCTAGATGAACCTACCCCAGACCGGAACCCATGTACAACACCCCAGTTACCAGCGCACGCCATTTGAGGAAATACTGCGACACCACAGCAACAGCAGGAAGATACATGAGGCCGAGTCCGATACCCTGTCCTACTCCTTGCGAGAGGAAGAACTGATCCTTCGTCAGCCATCGACTAGCACATACGGAGGGGCAGTTGCGTACCTGGTAGTATTGTCCCGGCTTGGCGGCACTCTGTGCGAAACAACAGCCAACTAGTAGCACGCTCCCGGAGACAGTCAGCGAACGGAATTTGCGCGCGTCGAATAGTATTCCCGCGGGAATTCCCATGCTGAAGAAGAGGAAATCCTGGACTGTGCCGATCCACGCAATCTCTGAGGCTGAGTGGTTGGGGAGTAACTCTTCGACATACGCGGCCTGGAAGACTCCATAACTATTTGCATATCTGGACGAGAGAAGTCAATAACATGTTGGTGCATCATGAATAATTGCATTACCCAGAGGAACACATGAGGATTAGGAACGCCCCGGCAACTGTTTTGACTTCGGCATACACGAGGAACGCATCACGTGAGGGCACTCACCAGTGCACCAGGCTTTCCATCCCCCGTCCGGTATGACATGCTCGTTCTCCTGCAGTACCTCGGGAGAGGAGTCGCCATGTTTGAGACTCTGGGAGCCGATTTCGACATCGCAGGGCTGCACAAGCGTGTCCTTGGATCGTTCTGATTGAGGCTCGATTAGTCGAAGGTGCTGGACAGCAGACATGGTGAGAAGACGAGGATGGTCGCTAGTATGGTTTATATAGCAGCATATATGCGCGCGATTCGGGAAGTCCGATAGATTTTGCCGGCATAGTCATCAGAGGACCATCAGATATGACCCGTACAACTGTAAGAAACTTGCTGAGTCAATCCCGAACAAGATCTGTGTAGCATCATTCAGCCAGGCCTCAACAACTACCGCACGGAGGAGCGGCGAGGTACCTTACTAAGGCAACTGCGAGGTTATCCCGCAGGAATTCAATACTTTGCGGAGGCGGGTATTACGGGCATAAGTTCAATTGGGCTGAAACGCAAGGAAGGCGTGAAGCGTGAGGTGCCAGGGGCGGACCACAATATCTCAATATATTTTGACCATGTTGGATGCGAGGTATCACCCGAACACTGGGTCTTGCTGCTATCTCTGGAACCGTTAGACAATCATTACTTGCACGTTTTAAGGATAAAAATATATCACATTGCACCAATAAGGATAACAAAGCGAGCCGAATAGGGCGCTGCATTAATGGTGACGGTGACGGTGAAGTTCAACAATAGAAAAAAAAGGGGGATGGGGCGGACCCTGCTTCAATGCCCATTTCTCGTCCCCTAGCATGTCCTTCCCGGGTCCCCCGAGTATCCTTATCGAAGTATGCGTCGACTCGCTCGAATCCGCCCTTACGTGCGCCCCCCTCTCATGCTCTGAGTGAAAACTAAGAGGGTAGCGCGTACGCGAACGGTGCGGATCGTCTGGAAGTATGTGCGAACCTTCCCGTGGGAGGGGGAACGACACCCAGCTCTGGGATGGTGAGATGTATCCTTGATCGGGTAGAGCTGCCTATCATGGTATGCGGGTCTCAACCTCAGCAGTCCTCGAAAGATTGACCTAGAAAACACAGGTGCTCATCCGGTGTCGGACTGGCGACTTTGTGTACACCCCCGAAGAACTCGAGGTGATGCGCTCCGACATCGAGGCCATAGGAGAACTCGCTGCCTCCGGCCCGGGAAAGGACGTGGGTGTCGTCATCGGCGCCCTCACGGCAGAGGGAAAGATAGACGAGCCGGCTGTGCGGTCGTGCGTTGTTTCTCTTATCAGGGGCACATGCTGAAGTGGGATAGATTGGTGCAAGCTGCGAGGGGCATGCAGGTTACGTTCCACCGAGCGTTTGATATGGTGCGCGACGCTGAGGAGGGTATGTAGCTTGGTTTCTAGCTTTTTATATGCAGCTGATCAGGTTTGCAGCCTTGACAACACTCGCCTCCATCCCGGGTATTCAGCGTATACTCACCAGGTACGTCCTCCTTCTACCTCCTTATCTAGCTTACACTCTCCAGCGGCCTCGCCGCAACCTGCATCGCCGGCCTCTCGCTCATCACCCAGCTTTCCATCGCCCACCCTAATTCCCTCACACTTATGCCAGGTTCTGGTGTCAACGCCCATACCATAACTCCACTGCTCCAATCCCTGTACCCGATCTGGCACGACCAAGACAAGAGAGGGGAAGTGCATCTCTCCGCCGGAAGGTGGGCAGAGCCGAGGAAGACGTTTAGGAGGGAGAGGATGGGGTTTGGATTGGGGGTGATGGGGGGAGAGGAGATGGAGAGGAGGGAGTGGGGTCGCTGGGAAGTGAACGGGCGGGAATTGGATCTGGTTAGAGGGCTCGTGGATGAGTTCGTAGGAGACTTCCAGGAGATTAGATGAGTGCACCGCACTGTGTAAGTACTTTATTTATGTGCCTCTGCGGTCTCTGTCTGTGTTCTTATCCTCTAAGGGGTTTATGGTGACATGCACCAACCTATACTTTAGAGTGCTCTCATCTCATGGCGGTAAAACGTTTATCCTCCTAAACCAGTCCTAATTTTAGCACACATTCCACAAAATTCCTGAAGTCCGCGTGACTCCCCACTCAGGTCTGTGCATTTAGACACGCCGCAATCCACCGGTCATCAAAGCTCATTGACCCCGCCTCCACCACTGACAACGGGAAGTTTATTCCTTGTCGTCTGACCCACCCTCCTCCTGGTCGTGCCCGGTACGTCAAGTGTGGGGTCGGTCGGGCCGAGCGGAAGACTCACGTGAGCCTCCGCTCATCTGGCGGTTGTAGATGTACATAACATGAAAAAGTACAAGTCCGTGCTCCACAACTAAAAGATACTCAACCACGCGGAAGAGATGCTGAACATAAGTTACGGCGCCTCGGAAGCTTATCACAACACGGCGCAAGGCAGGTCGAATTCAAAACCCGACTCCCTCCGGCTTGATAGGCTGCCGCGGCGATATGCTACTCGTGCACGGTCTTACCCCAGATTTTGTTTAGCTTGGTATTAAATGTCTTTCCCGCATGTGGATGGTTTGAATTCGCCCTGGCTGATGCATTGAATTTGAAGTGGGATGTGGACAAGGGCGGTAATCGTCTCGTATCGGGTGTCGGCACGGGCGCTATCTTCGGCTCGCCTGCCGAGCGCTTGAGACTGTTATCGTCGTGCCGGTCACTAGGACGGGACGGGCGCTACCCTCTGGAAGAAGTAATGGAAATCTGTGGCACAAACGTTTCTAGTTTGTACTGTTGTTAAAGAAGATTCGTTGTCCGACCTCGTCGCTGTCGAGTGGCGCGAGACGAGGGAGAAGGAATGGAGAAAGCGGGTGCCCCCAAGCCGTGCTGCGTCAGGGTTTTGGGGCGGAATTTGCGCGGGCATTGTCAGGCTTCTTCGGCTCACGTGACTTATGTAGAAACTGCGCACGCGGAATACCGGGCAGGTAATTTGTTCATCACTTGACAGCAGGGCACCAATCTAGTCCGAAGGCCGATGCGTGCCTCTCTTTGCCCATATGCGAACCCCGGACGTTCGCCACTCGGCCCTTAGGTTGCGTCTTCTCCACCCGCGGCACAAAATTAGAACCTGGCTCAGACGGACGCATGATGTTCTCTGCCGAGGCCGGCATGGCGCTGATTACCCCTCGGCCGAATGGGCGCCCATTTGGATACACACGCAAGGACAGGTGGGTGGGCCGACCCGTAATCTCTGTTAGGCAAGAGGGTATAACTATCGACAATGCACACAAGTACTGTCGATGAGGCTTCCGCCGTGATTCCGACTAACCCACGTCACGTTACGTCATTCCTCCCTCATCTTTCATCCCAGCTTGAAGGAGAGGATCGGTCGGTGCTGGCCGCATCGTAACTCCCCTCGCATCACGTCCACGCTCGACAAATCATCATGGACAGTCCTGTCAATGAGAAACGACCACAGACAACGAGGAGCACTGTACTTCGCACGGTGAGCACGGCAGAGAAGAGCGACTTGGAGAGCGGGGACACACCTGAGCCTGAGCTGGAAAAGGTGCAGGTGGTGCCGCGTGCGGGGGGGAACATAAGGGAAAAGGATCTGGAGGAGTACATCGAGACAACGAAGTGGAGGAGGAAATGGTGCGCTCTTTGCTCTGTGTGCTGTGTGTATGCTCATGATGCTCGTAGGTGGCAAGTATGGATGCCGAAGAACCCACCCCCACCCCCGCCTCCATCCTTCCAAGACGCGACCATCATTCCCCTCGCTACTGCCAACTTCCTCAGCATCCTCACATACGCATGGATCTCCCCGCTCATGACGCTCGGATATCAGCGGCCGCTGCAGGCGACCGACTTGTGGGCAATGGACGACTCGCGCAAGAGCGAGCTGCTCTCCTCGAAGCTTACTGCTGCGTGGGAGCGCCGAGTTCGGGATGCGGAGGAGTACAATGCGCGTATTGATCGAGGGGAAATACGTGTCACATCAGCGATGCGTCTCAAGAGCAAGCTTCTCAGTTGGCGAAGTGAGGACGCGACAGGGCGGAAGGTCGCTAGTCTCGCCTGGGCGCTGAACGACGTTTTCGGCATCGGATTTTGGGCCGGAGGGCTATTCAAGGTCTTTGGAGATACGGCACAGCTCATGGCGCCCTTGTTGAGCAAAACGATCGTGCGGATGATAGAGAGTCCTGATCCGAGTATCGGGCGCGGCGTGCCTATGGCTATCGGCCTCTTCCTCCTCACCGTCACCGCCTCCCTTTTCCAGCACCAGTTCTTCTTCCGCTCCATGCATACAGGCGTCATGGCCCGCGCCGCGCTCACTACAGCGTTATATAAGCGCTCGCTCCAACTCTCCCCAGCAAGTCGGACCACCTACCCGAACGGCAAGCTCGTCAACTTCCTCAGCACCGACATCTCCCGCATCGACTACTGCGCACAATGGTTCCACGCAGGTTGGACCGCCCCGATCCAAGTCTCTATCTGCCTTATCATCCTCTGCGTGCAGCTTGGCCCGAGCGCACTAGCAGGCTTCTGCATCTTCCTCATCCTCATGCCTATTCAGGAGCGGGCCATGTCCTACCAACTCGGCGTGCGGAGGAAGAGCATGGTCTGGGTCGACCGGCGTGCCAAGCTGCTCCAAGAGCTCTTGGGTGGGATGCGGGTGATCAAAGTCTTCTGCTATGAGATCCCCTTCCTGGAACGCGTCACGTCGATAAGACATGAAGAGTTGAAAGGGGTATGGAAGATCAGCATCATACGCGCCGCTAACCAAGCACTGGCATTCTCCGTCCCTGTGCTTGCCGCTGTGCTCGCGTTCGTCACATACTCCTTAACGGGACACGACCTAGACCCGGCAATCATCTTCGCCTGCATGAGCCTGTTCCAGCTCCTCCGCCAACCGCTCATGTTCCTCCCTCGTGCGCTGAGCGCTATCACGGACGCGAGCAACGCCCTTGAACGGTTGAGAGGCGTCTTCATGGCCGAAACGATGGATGGGGCATTGACGATCGACCCGGATCTGAAGTGGGCCGTGAGGGTGGAACATGCAGAGTTTAGGTGGGAGACGGTGTTCACTGGCGAGCAACAGGAGGACAAGGAAGGATCTAAGAAGGGGAAGAAGAACAAGGCTGACCGGGAGCTGAAGGAGAAGGAGAAAGAGGTTGCTAAGGATGGAGACAAGGAGCGACCACCTGATGAGCCATTCGCGTTACGCGATGTGAACCTCTCTATCCCCCGCGGACAGCTCGTTGCTATCGTCGGCCCTGTCGGGGCAGGAAAGTCCTCCCTTCTCCAGGGCTTGCTGGGCGAGATGCGCCGCACGAAGGGGACCGTCACCTTCGGCGGAGCGGTGGGTTACTGTGCCCAAACCGCTTGGATCCAGAACGCCACGTTGAGGGAGAACGTACTCTTCGGTCAGAGCTGGGATGAGGACCGGTACTGGAAGGCGATCCACGATGCGAGCCTTTTGGCGGACTTGGAGCAGCTCCCAGATGGTGACCTTACCGAGATTGGCGAGAAGGGAATCAACCTCTCCGGAGGGCAGAAACAGCGCGTCAATATCGCCCGTGCGCTGTACTACGACGCGGACATTGTTGCTCTCGACGACCCCCTCTCGGCCGTGGATGCGCACGTCGGTCGGGCGCTCTTCGCCAATGCTATCCTCGGCGCCCTTAAGGCGCGCGGGAAGACGATCATACTCGTCACTCATGCACTCCATTTCCTTCCCCAGGTCGACTATATCTACACGTTCCAGGACGGTGTCATCGCCGAACAGGGCACATACGACCAGCTCGTCGCGTCCAAAGGCACCTTCTCCCGTCTTGCCAAGCAATTTGCTGGTGAAGCGGAAGAGCAGCGCCGACGTGAAGAACTGGAGGAGGAGCGCGAGGCCGAAGAGGGAAAGCCGGCAGAGAAGAAGCCAGAGTTGACTACTGAGGCTGTCAGGCTGAAGATGGAGAAGATCGCTGTGGGCACAGCTGCCGGTACGGGAAAGCTCGAAGGTAGGCTCATCCAAGCTGAGAAACGCAAAACGGGCTCTGTCGGTCGGCAAGTGTACGGCACGTACTTATCCGCCGGAGGCGGGTGGACCAACTCGCTTATGGTCCTCTTCCTGGGCTGCGCGATGCAGGCCTGCTCTGTCATGGCTACTTACTGGCTAGTCTGGTGGCAGGAGAACGAGTTCAACAAGGCGAACGGATTCTATATGGGCTTGTATGCCACACTCGGTGTCTCGCAGGCATTCCTCACACTCGCTATGGGGGCAGGCATGACCTGGCTCTCGTACCTAGCCTCGGTGCGTCTGCACAAAGAAGCTGTTTTCAAAGTATTCCACGCGCCTATGGCGTTCTTCGATACCACCCCGCTTGGTCGCATCCTTGGCGTGTTGGGTAAGGACATTGATACCATCGATAACCTCCTCACTGGTACGCACTCTGCTTTTAAAGTACTTCCACCATCCTGACTCGGAACATAGAATCCCTTCGTATGTTTGCAATGACCATGTCCAACGTCCTGGGCACGATCATCATTGTGACTGTTGTCACCCACTACTTCATCGTAGCCGTTGCAGTTATCCTTCTCGGCTACTTTTACTATTTCTCTTACTATACCACGTCGTCTCGTGAACTCAAACGACTCGGTCAGTGTTGGGAGCTTTCCTCCAGTTCTCAAGCTCATCATTTCACAGACGCCAGCCTTCGTTCTCTCCTCTACGCACACTTTGCGGAAAGTTTGAGTGGCCTCGTTACGATTCGCGCGTACCAAGAGACCCCCAAGTTCTTGAGTGACAACGAATACTACACTGATCTAGAGAATCGTGCCCTCCTTCCGACCGTTGTGAATCAGCGTTGGTTGGCTATCCGCCTGGATTTCCTCGGCGCACTCATGATTCTCGCTGTTGGTCTGATGGCTGTCGTACAAGTAAACGGGATCACACCTGCGCAGGCTGGTCTTGTCCTGTCTTGTAAGTCATCAGATGATGGAAAGAAAATCCCTAACTTGTTGTACAGATATGACTTCCCTTACTCAGGCATTCAGTATGATGACTCGTCAGAGTGCTGAAGTCGAGAATAACATGAATGCTGTGGAGCGTGTGGTCCACTACACAGCCGACGGATACATTGCACAGGAGGCAGCATACCGCATTCCGGACAGAGCACCTCTCGCAAACTGGCCGCAACATGGTGCCGTGAAGATGGAGACTGTCCGCCTACGGTATCGCCCTGGTCTGGATGAGGTTCTCAAGGGCGTTGAGTGGAACGTTCGTGCTGGGGAGAAAGTGGGTGTTGTGGGAAGGTTCGTGATCCCTTTTTTTACTCCCTGTATACCTCATGCCTGATCGACCCGGCAGAACCGGTGCTGGCAAATCTTCCCTCCTCATCGCACTCTTCCGGCTTGTTGAACTCTCCGGAGGGAAGATTACCATTGATGGCTTGGACATTGCCGATATGGGACTTCAAGATCTCCGAGCGCGGCTGTCCATTATCCCGCAAGATCCGCTGCTTTTCTCTGGAACAATCCGGAGCAATCTCGATCCTTTTGGGCTTTACGATGACGCGCGTCTGTGGGACGCTCTTCGTAGGTCGTACTTGGTAGAGAGCCCGGCTTTGCCAGTCTCATCTGCATCATCCATCACGGCAGCATCGCTGCACGAGCCAACGCACGAGGACACTACGACACTGCTCGAATCCAAGACGGACGACCCGCTCGAATCGGCCGCGTCAGCGCGCTCACGTTTCCATTTAGAGACGGTTGTTGACGCCGAGGGATCTAATCTTAGTGTCGGCGAGCGCAGCCTCGTCAGCCTTGCAAGAGCGCTCGTCCGTGATGCCAAAATCATCGTCCTTGACGAGGCGACTGCATCCGTAGACCTGGAAACAGACGAGAAGATCCAGAAGGTGATTCGGGAGGACTTCAAGGACCGGACACTTATCACGATTGCGCATCGTTTGCGGACGATTCTTTCATATGATACCATTCTCGTTATGGACAATGGCATGGTCGCGGAACACGACACACCGCTGAACCTCTTCTTGCAGGAAGGTAGCATTTTCAGAGGGATGTGTGAGCGGAGCAATATCACGAGAGAGGAAATTGAACGCGCAAAGGATGCGTGATGTTTCAACATTTCATGGGCGCCACGTCACTGGAACGCATGGTGAGGATCAATGTGTATGTAGAAGGACAAGGCATAGACTGTATCGAGCAATCGCTGTAATGGAAATCACGTGCACGAAACTTGCGGTTTTACCTAACAATCTACGATAACTCTTCCGAGTATGTGCAGCGGAGCGGCAGTGTACCCAGCATATGCATCAAACACTGCAAGGGTATTGAGAACATTGATGGCAATGGTGAGTAAGGCTCTCCTGATCTTTACATTGCCCGTATTGGGCAAGTGATCATGTGGAAGGATTCCTCTACCATCAGGCGCCGAAGGACACCCGGCGCTAGAACGAGTGCAAAAGCGGGACGAGAAGGCAGCCAGTACTCGTCACATACGTATTCTTGGGCGTTACAGTTACGTTGTGCACAGGAGGAAGAGAAGTGTTACGTGAAGCTTCTTTTTCCTTTTTGGAAACAAGTGGATTGTTGAGCGTCCCACCGCGCGTAGATATCAGCAGAGTGGTCTGATAGTGAAGAGGATCCAGCAGGGGAGGCTCACCGTGGCTCGCGTAAAGCTAATGTAGAGAAACCCGGTATCGCTCAGGTAGGATGTCCCTGTACTAAGAAGAAGAAGAGAAGGCACGTGATTGCGGACAGCAAGTGCATGATTAGGAGCAGAACGCGACGCGTGCATAGGGGGATTCTCCCTGGCGAGCCAGTCAAGCCAAGCGAGCCACAGCCGAGGTTATTCAGGTATCTCAGGCTCGAGGATTCAGAGCCCCTGTCCACATGGCCGGCAGCAGGAACTCGAGGCTGCAGATCGTGCATGCGGAGCACTCCTAGTAAGCGTCGGAGAAGCGGGTATTCGCGAGTGAATGCCTTTCCTGGAACCTGTGGTAATATACACCATCGGTTTCTTTTGCCTTAGAGCTTCCAGGATGAATATCCGACGATGTTGTGGCGTCGCTAAGCAACCGCGAGCATCAGAGCCGGATGGTTCTAGCTCGATTATGTGCTGGAAGCGGTGCGGCGTGCCTGGAGCATGCTGTCAGAGGCGTGTGCAGTGTGACGCTACATGCCGATGTCAGAGCCCCCTCGTGTCTCCAGTATCGGTTTCTCATGTCAGCTTTGTGGGGAGAAATACTAGTGGCTCTGTCTCGGCGGTGCAATCGGACGGGCCCGTGAAATGCCTTACTCCGACTCGGGCTTACGAACCTCGAGAGGTACATGATCGATCGCCTGCTACGTGAGCGTGTAGGCGCTCATAGTCTGTGAAAATCGCCTGGTATGTATGATGGTACCTCGTTATTTGCCGTCTATCTTGATCGGAGGCCGGCGACGGATTTACCGGGGTTAGGCATTTCCCTTATGCCGAGTTGAATTCTTGGTAGGGTAATGGGGAGTCAATCCACGTTGTGCCGGTGTGACATCACGTGGTTCTCTCCGAGCGTGCAACTGTCGGAGTAGTTGCTATAGAATTTGTGCGCCTTGTGCGCGTTGAGTTGAGTTCTGCGTAGGCATTCAGGAATACGAAATGTTAGAATAAGAGGAGGTTCATTTCCGCGTGCGTTTGATGGAGGCAGCATGCGGCTCGGAGAGGAGTCACACTGCTCGGCTCCGCGTCAGAAAGGGGAGAAAGAATATTCTCAGATGTGATTCGTGGGTGGTATGTGTCAGACAAGGGGATATAATGATGCGCAATATGAGGTGGCCGAACACATCAATTGCCTGACCTCGTGTCGAGGTGAAGAATGGCTGCGGCGCTGGTCGGGATTGTAATAGTGAGAGAAGGAAAGTGCGCATGAGGAAGACGTCGGGAATGCAATCTTGGAACTTAAGGGACTTAACTTGTTCAGCAGATGAGAAGGTCAAGCTGACATTATTATTTCGTGTAGAACGACGATGTATAGCATAAGAACGTGCAATGGGAAAAGCTGAGCACCGGTGTTTATGGTTTTTAAATATGAAAGAGCGATGATTGAACATGGGTATTTGGAAGTGAAAGCCGGCAAGGTGGAGAGGATGAAGAGAGAGAGGGAGGGAGAGTGAATAAGTCCCGCTATGCCCGCCGCGCATGGCCGCCTCTTGTCCGCTAGCCCAGCCATACCCTCACCACCCTCTTCCCCCCTCTTCCCCCGTCCAATTCACCGGCCAACACACCACCGGCTTTATTATTTCTCTTCTCCTTTTCCCTCCTTTTTATCTCTCCTTTTATAATCCTCTTGTTCTTGAGGAGAAGGACAGCGTACACCGACGTACTCTGACGCTTTCTCACAGCGAGGACGAGTGGTGGAACACGAAGGATACACGACGAAGCGCCAGCCAATTCTTAGCGAGAGGGACGCGGACTTGAACAGGCGGTTGCTATCTCCTGTACTTTACCACCAATCTTCCCTTCCTCGAGCTGTACTAGTCATCTCTCCTCTCTCTCTCTCCTCCCTCCTCCTCTTCCCTCCCTTCCCCGTCCTCTCCTCCCCCCACCTCAACCTCAACAACGATCCATCATGTACTCATCTTCATTGGGGAACAAGGCATCGCGCCCGCTTGTCACCTTCAATCCCGACACTCCCGAAGACTATGACCGAGATGGACGCTCGCAGCCCACGACCTCTTCGCCCCCTCCACCTCGCATTGAATATAGGCGCATGAGGCAAGTCCAGCAGGAGATCGAGCGTAGACCTGTCAAGGAAAAGTCGACCCATCTCCAGCTCGGCCCCCGTCCGCTGCGCGAGAGTACACCACGCAACCTTCAAGTCAATGCTCTTCCTCCAGCCTCGTCAGCGTCCTCTTCCGGTTCGAGCTCCTTCACTATCCCCACCCCAACGGCGACCACGTCGACCAACACAACCACACCACCCACACCAAGTCCCCTCACCCCATCATACCACCATTACCCGCCCGAGCAGGACGTTCAGCGCCTATCTCCCAAGTACGAACGAGAAGATCCTTTCCACCAGATAGTCAACCTCACAGGTACGCACCGATCCGGCGGTAGCCATTCCCGCTCCGGTTCCAGTGCCAGCATCGTCGAGCCATCACCTATCACTGTGAGCACACCCGGGTCGTCCAGCACGACCTATACTCCGGTGTATGAAGTCCCGACGAATACGGTCCTGGTGGGGATCACACTGGATGGGAATGATTATCAACAGGTCGACATTACTGGTGTTAATGGTGGAACGAGGATAAGAGACAGGATACTGAGTTCGGTGCGTGCTTCGTTGTCGTTATTCGGAGTGTTCTTATACTTCATCATAGCTCGGGTTTCCAGCACCGTACCACCGGGATTTCTCAATGTACAAGACCGAATGGGGTACTACCCCTCAAGGCGCGAAGGAGCGGCCAGCAGTGACAGATGATGCCCTCTTGCTCCAAGTACACGGGGCAGCCAGCAACAACAAGACGACGTTAAAATACTATGTGGAGCACAATCCCAGTGCTTCTCCTTTACCCGCTGCTGGTCCTTCCCGTCCAGGACCAGCACCGATCCAGATGGTCCCACCCGGTACGAGTCCAGGACATGCATCATCACTGGCATCCGGCAGTCCAGAACAGCTCGTCTCCCCCACTTCTGCCGTGTCGGGCATGCCGAGTTCGCCCATGCCTGGGCAGAATGGATACCTCTCCCAACACCCGCCACATGCACACCCACCTCCCCGGCGTAGTCCCACAGACACGAGTCCACCTCCCCTCCCTCCACACCCATATATGCCCCCGGTACATTCGACCACCCTTCCCACCCCACCCCCCGCGAACCAGTACTATGGTTCACCGCCACCATACGCTGAGGCTGCGAGGGCCAACCACAACTTTGTCCCACCAACCGATGAAAAGCGTTCTGCGACCTCGCAAGTGCCTATCAGTCCCCCTTCCCGTCCTCCACCATCCCGACCACCGCCAATGCAGTACCAGGCAAACCTGGGGTATGCTCCTAGTCCGGCCCCATTACCAGGCACCCCACCTGCAGCTGTGCACGGACGAAGCGGCAGCGAGACGACACCACGTCGCCAACCACTCCCTCCCTCTGGTGTGCCGTACGACCAAGACTTGTATGCTGCTCCCGGAGGCGGAGAGGGGTACACTAATGCCGGTGCGCCGATATACATACGACCGCCGCCACCGCCGCCGCCGCCTATCCCGGTCAAGACACAACGGAGGAACGTAAGCATCGATGGGCGGATGGGGACGGTGGAAGGACTAGGGAGAAGCCCGAGCCCAAGTGGGTTGTATGCTGCGGCGGCGGCGGTGCAGGGAGGTACATATGGGAGGCTGAGTGAGGAGATGGATAGGGAGACGTTGGATAGGGAACGCGAGCGGGAGAGAGAACGAGAACGAGAGAGGGAGAGGGAGAATCAGAGGGAGAGAGAAAAAGAGAGGCAGGAGAGGGATAGGATGGAGAGGGACAGACAGGACAGAGAAAGGGAAGAGCGGGACAGGCAGAGAGTGGGGACGCCGTTGGGTGTGTATGGGAATGGACAGCGGATTGACAGTGAGTGGCCACCTTTAATTCTGCATGTGTGCGCCTAACAACCATCTCCTAACAGCGTCTGGTCGATTCCTGCCACCCACGTCGGCACCCAGACTCGCCTCCCCCACCGGTACTGGCGCGTCCTTCGCCCGCTCACTCAGTCATTCCAAGTCGACCACCCACCTCCGCTCAGGCACATCGAATACCTCCCTTCTCCCTATCGGTCCCACGCCCAGTCCGAGTTCTGCGCGTACCACGGGTGGGACCGCCACTGGAGCACGATTTGGTGCTGCTAGCCCCGCTCCGGGTCAGGTATCACCATACGGAAGTCGGACTGGCACGCCGAGTCGATCAGGCGGACCTTCCACCCCGTCTCTCAACACCCGTCGGCATCCTTCTTTCACAACTTACGCCCAGCCGCCTTACGGTGCTTCGTCGCCCGTCTCTCCCGAACGCAATCGGCGGAATGGTCTCACTATCGCATCCGAGAACGCTACCCCAACATCGGCAGGCACGAACTACAGCGATAACAGCATTACACCTACGTCAGCTATCCCTACCCCGCCTTCGACATTAGCGAGACACAGGCCACCCCCACCGTTTAACGAGTTGAACACGCCGAGTGACACGACAAACCAACGTACCTTATTACGTTCTACGCATGTACGTGGAGGGAGGATGCGCACCCCTACTGCCCCACATGGGAAGCGGGACTCGGATCTCCACGGCGGTTCTGGGAAGGACACAGACGACAGTAATAGTCCGACTTCTCCCAGCCAGGGCAGCTCACTTGGCCCGGCAACTCCCAGCGAAGATTCGACGGCAATCGCGAGCGGAACGGACGAGGAGAGCGGTACGGACCGCCCTGGACCTTCCAGACCGGTCAGGACGAAGCGCGCTGTCCCGCGTGCTCCATTGCCCAGCACATCCGGGCAGGAAGATATCTCCTGGTCGCGGTTTTTGGATAATGATAAACAGGGATCTGCAAAGACGGAGGATGATGCGTCACGAACGCTCATGCCGCTCTCGAAGATGAGTGGCTATGGATCTGCAGCTTCCACCATCAAGGCATCGTCTCACCTCTCGTCGCCTGCACCATCACCCACACCAAACCCACACATCCAGCTACAGCCCGCGACCAGTTGGTCGACAGGACCGCCGGTCATCGATTTGCCTATTATTGACGACGTGGATGAGGGATATGATGATGGAGGAACTCTTTGGATCACACCACCTCAGCCTCTTCCTCCAAACGCGGCAAACCGAAGACCGCTGGTGCCGCCCATCCAGACAGAACAGATCAACGGCCAGCCGAACGGGCGACCAAGCCCATCCCACGGTATCTCTCCTCTCGGAAGTGCCGGTCAGCCATCCAGCGACAAGGGCTATGGCGATTGGGAATTGCGTCCTCAGCCAGAGGATGTGTACGATAACCTCGACCAGTTCTTCCCGGGTCATGATCTTGACAAACCTGTTCTGGAGACCGCCTCGGCTGGTGGCAAGTCCCCTGTTGATGACGTCGCACCTCTTGGCCAGACCCCTGCCGCGGGTGCAACCCCGAAGTCCAAGCATAAGAAATCAATTCGATATGTAGCTAATGTTGCGCGGAAGCAGCTGCATGATGCGGAGGCCGGTGACGATCAGAAGACTATCATGAAGCGCAAGAGGACGACAAAGCTCTGGAACAGCAAGATCGAGGAAGTCGCTCCTGGTCAGGGGCTCCAAACGCCTTCTGAGCCAGAGTCGCCTGCCGTACCTGGTCAGCGGCCGACTGTGCGGTATACAAAGGGTCAGCTGATTGGCAAGGGTACATATGGGCGTGTGTACATGGGCATGAACTTGGCAACTGGTGAAATGCTTGCGATCAAGCAGGTCGAGCTGCCGAAGACTGCCTCGGATCGCGCAGATAACAGGCAGCAACTCGTGGTGGACGCTATCAAATCCGAGAGCAATACGCTGAAGGACTTGGATCACCCGAATATCGTGCAATATCTGGGCTGCGAGGAAACCGAGGATTTCTTCAATATGTAAGACGCGCCACCTTGTGCTCTCAGAATATTTACTGACCTATTTTCTAGCTTCTTGGAGTATGTTCCTGGAGGCAGTGTGGGCCACACCCTGCGGCGATACGGTCGATTCCGGGAAGATGTCATCAAGAACATAACCAGCCAGATCCTTGAGGGGCTTGCCTATCTCCACGCAATGGGAATCACTCATCGAGACCTGAAGGCAGACAACATCCTGATCGACCATGAGGGCAACTGTAAGATCTCCGACTTTGGGACATCCAAGCGTGCCCAGGACGCCTATGCCAACCAAGCGGGAGCAACACTGATGACTGGTTCGATTCCTTGGATGGCACCTGAAATGTTCATGAGCCAAGGCGAAGGGTATGGTGCCAAAGTCGACATTTGGTCCATTGGCTGCGTTTTCCTCGAAATGTGGGCTGGCGAGCGCCCGTGGAGCCAGGACGAGCTCTATCAGGTCATGTACAAGGTCATGACGACCAAGTCGGCGCCGCCTGTACCCGAGAACACCCATCTGACCCCTGGAGCTGAGGAATTCCGTTTGAAGTGCTGCGCTATTAATCCCGAAGACCGACCCACCGCCGCCGAGCTGCGAAAGGAACCGTACCTCATCCTGCCCAAAGACTGGAAGTTCCCAACGCCTTTCTCCACAATATCTGCTGTCGATTAGATGCAGATCATTCTTGTTTTTCTCACTGCAAGATCTCCACCACCACTATCTCACCCATCCCCTTCCTCCCTTTTGCTTTGCCCTCATCCCCACCATCGTACATAAGTCACATCAAAATTACCTCATGCTTGTTCCGGATTTTTTCAACGCTAGTCACGCCGCCCTATACCAAACGTCCATACCATCAATTCCTCCATCTCGGTCTTCCTTGCCCCTTCCCCTTGCCCTCAGTTTCCTTGCTTCTGTTTCTACTATGTCTTGCATAGGAATTAGTGACATACAGCCTTCGTCTTATAGCTACTCTGAATTCCATGGCTGATGTTGATCATTCCGAGCGTGGCCCTTTGCACCGACATTCTCATCCAAATGCCATATGAAGTATGTCAGAATTGGAGACAGCGCCGAAACGAGCTATTTGAATTTGACTTTCGCGGATCACACACTGGTTCTCACCGGCTTCGGCAACAAACACAATAATCCTGCCAGAGACGATGTAGGCTGACGATGGCCCGTTCCAGGTAGCCATGAGGACCCAAAGGCTGGGCATAAAACGATATTTTTGAATATGCTTACGTAATCGTCGGCTGGTAATTGTTGTTTGGACTTGAGACCGGAGCGCGTTGACGCCTGTTGTTCGCCTCGTTCCCTACATGTGGCGACCTTGCACTGCGCTCAACGTACACCCTGTGGAGCAGCTCCGAGTCCATATTAACAAAAGTATCCTTTTAAGGCGACACAATAACGATCTTGAATTGTACGGCTTTATATCCTTGCGAGACAGCTGACCAACACCATCGCCGCGCCGGTCCCGTGGTGATTATGCGCCATATACGGCAGTAGCGAGGAGAATGTTCCCAATGGCCTGGACTCGTTGGCGAAAGCATGGCCTTGTGTCGTGCCCCTCCGTAACCGTTATCTGTGCTTGACGCCGGTGCACGACAGGTTATAAACCATCGTCTTGACCCCCTTGCCTCCCCACTCACAGAATGACTACTCAGACCAACACCGTCGCCGACTGGGAAACTAATTATGCCGACGTGGAGAAATCCCTCACGAAACTGGCTGTGACTTTGGCGAACGCAGCAGAGATGTCGCAGGATCTCCTCGTTGGCGCATGGACTGTGGGTAATTGGGTCAACACAGCATAATGTTGTCAGACTGACAGCCTCTCAAAAAATGAAGAAATTGGAGGTCGATTATAGGAGCTTATTAGATCAGAATGCAGTTCTGCTGCAGGACAAATCGGTAATCGAAGGCCGTCGTGACAAACTCGCCGCAGACTTCGCTAAATTAAAAGAGGAGCATGCTTCTCTGGCTAAGCTTCAAAGTACAACGCAGGCATCAGGTATGGAATCATTCTCTCGTTGATCGGGTCCGTGAACTAGATTGTGCACCAGATTCGAGCTTCTCTGTTGTTCTGATCGATGGCGATGGTTCGATTGTAAGCATATAATTCAAAGCACGGGATCCAACACTGACAGCTCGTCCTGTAGTTCGATGCGGCTTATCTTAAAAAAGGTGCCGAAGGAGGTCAGCACAGGCTGGTGAACTCCACAGTGCCTCATCTGAACGCACACTAGGAAACGAAGCTGCGTTAGCCTTGCGTACTGGCTTGAAGCATTGTTTCCCTCTGGTCACACCACACGTTCGCATTTTCATATACTTGAACAAACTTGGTCTTGGAAGAGCGTTGATGGAGGTGATATTCCGTTCGATTTTCGAGGTCAATTTTGTGTTGACGATGCTGATAGGACAAGATTGTGACACCTGATGAATTTGATGCATTTGTAAGTGAAAATTCCTCTTTTTCAGGCGTTTTTAACAAACGTCTTGTAGAGTTGAGACTACCCCACACAATACCGAGACGTCTATTGACCGAAACCAGTCAAAGGTTTTCAGGCAGCTCATACTTCCACTTCTGTTATCGATGTTGGGTACGGCAAGGAAGCTGCTGATGCCAAAATCCGTGGTACTAGCCTTGAGCATAAACGGAGGAGCATTGACCTGAATTTTCTCCCAAGATGCTATGGCTTTCCACCTGAGTTTGTCCGAGTGCAAGCTGGTGGTTCTTGGTGCTTCCCATGATAATGGCTACGGCACCCTGTTGAGGTCTTTGCGGACCGACGGCAAGATGTCGCGAATTGGACTTTTGAAAGGCGAGCCTCGAACTCATCAACAAGTACTCCCCATTAACTCAGAGCTCAGGATATGAGTGCGTGGCACAAGAACTGAAGGAGTTTGAAGAATGGATGGCCGAGATACCGTGGCTGTTCATGGCACAAAAACTTGGTGACGCAAATCGCTCCTCCAGAAGTGTTTCCCCTGTCAGTCCTACGAAGTCACCAAGGCCTACCACTTTCTCTGCTGCTGCCAAGACCGCAAACGGTAGCGGAGCTTCGTGGCAAGTAGTCTCATTCAAGGCTTCGAAGAAAGCTCAGATTAATGTGGGTGGAGTTGAAGAGGGCCGAGTTATGCCTGACCTGCATACCAGACTATCAAAGATCTCGATCCCAGGCCATGCTATGGTCACTATCTTCGTGAGGGGTGTACTAAAGATACCTGCAAGTATGGCCATGATTATGGTATACCCTTCCCATAAACCGCCGAACATATTGGTGATCAAGCTTGCTCCACAGATCTATCAAAGAATGCCATGGGAGAACTCAGGAAATTCGCAAAGCGAATCAGCTGTGATTATTGGATCCACGACATGTGTCCATATACCGCAGAGACTTGCATCAATGGTACGCACGGAGCACATCGTATGTCGCGGCACGCATCGACTGAATGACTCTCAGGTCATGTCTGTCACAATGGACAACTGTGCCCCTTGTGAGTATGCACATCCACCCCCAGATCGCTAATTGACGTCTTTGCAGCCGCGGGAATACTTGCTTTTTCCAGAAATGGCACGACGAGAATCCTGCTCGTCTCAAATGAGTGAGCTTGCGATTGAAACTGTTCTTTAGTAAACCCCTAGATACCCCTCGCGCGATCAGGCAGTTAACTTGATCGCGTTGCGGTACCTCATCTCGCTAGTTTCCGAATGTCATGTCTGTTGTCATGCCCAGCGCTAGATTCCTGCGACATTCTCGCACACATGTGTAAGGCTCGGCGGCAAGAAGACACAATTCCAAGGTGTAAGCGAACGCGCAGTAACCAAGTCTCATTGCGCAGACCAATGGAAGAAGGAACCCTAGCTACTGCTACACTTGATTCTCCATTTGGAATGACCGAACATTTCCCAGAAATGCCGTTGCTCAGAAGTGCTCCTTAGCAAAAGTGAACTTGAGGGACTTCGTGTTCTGGGCCGAAGTGGCGGATTTGAGAGCCTTAGCAATGGCAGAAGGCTGTGATGAATATTAGTAATGTAGTTAGTTTCATCGAAAACGGGTTACGACATACCCCGCAGTAGTACGTTCCGATCCGGGTCTTGAGCGTAGACTCCCTTCCAGGCAGATACTGCCCGCCCTCGAGAGCCATCCTGAGATTCGAAAAGATAGAGGGCCAGTCGGGTCTGCCGAACATAGTACGGCTGCGGAGCAGAGTGAGAGGGTCGTAAGCCGCACCGGCATCGTTGACGGCGATGTTGTAAAGCGTGTCCTCCGAGACCTTTTGGGTGATGTAGATGTTGATACGGAGGAAGTTGGGGTCGGTCTGGGCAGCCTCGATCTCCTGCAGCAGACTCTGGAACCAACCGAAGATGGAGGCGTCCCTGCACACCCAGATGAACTCGACCCTGCGCAAGGCACCCAGGTTACCCCGCCTCTGACGGTACCAGATATGCTTAAGGATACTGGCGAAGGGGGTAACACCAATACCGGCACCGACGAGAACAGCAACCTCGGACTCGAAGACATCCTCTGCTGGGGCACCGAATGGACCATCAATGCGCACCACGGGCAGGCCACGGCTGTTCATGGTTTCGTCCACTTCGACGAAGTCGCCACGGGTGGGCATGCCCATCTGCATCTTCTCGTCCTTCTCGCTCGCCTTCAGGGCAGCCTTCGTCATCTGCGCAACGACATTCGGCCCGGCACCGAGCCGTTCACCAAGAGCTTGTGTCCAGTCACCGACCTGGCGGATATGCACGGAGACGTACGGGTCCTCAGGCGCAGAGGTGATCGTGAATGGATGCCATTGGTATCTGGAGACTTCTGGGACTTGGATGAACAGCCACTGGCCAGCGGTGTACTTGAACGACTTCTTGATGATGCGTAGCTCCATCGCCCCCGAGGGATGGACGAGGACCTTATCGAGCTGGGTAGCACGGCGCGCACGGAACTCGCGATACATGCGCTCGCCGAAGTAGAGGATACCGGGCCAGATGGTGTACCGCCAGCTCATGTAGCCGAGGCAGTGCTCGGTGCTGTAGAAGGGGAACGTGCTGATGTAGTCTGGATCGACGCTGTCTCGTACGAAGCAGCCAGTTGCGTGGGAATACAGGCCGATCATGAAAAAGAAAGCGAGATGGTGGGTGTACCAGAATACCTCGAAGCACTGGGCGCGGACCTTGTGATGCGCAGTGGTGTACATGAGCACCATGATGAGGAGCATGACATGGCCGGTGATACCACCTGCTTGCTCATAGTGAATCTGCCATGCAGCTTCTTGCCGGACCTGAGTGCGCTCGACGTTGATGAAGTTGACGTAGTGCGCAGTTGTATGCACCATTGCCCAGAACGCCATCGAGTATGCTACTTGACGGTGGAACCAGATGTTCTCGTCGGCAGGGAAGAGCCACGACAATTTGGGTCGGACAACCTTGATGATATTGCGAAGCACTATATCAATCTGTTAGATGAAGGAGACGAGGAGAAGAAGCAGACCGCGTACTTGGGACTAGAATCATAAATCCATCCAGAGCCAGCACCAGGCCGGCACCGCGAGATACCCAGACGGACCACTTCAGACCGTTCAGAGCAGCAAGGCGCACATTCGTTTCCTATAACCGATTTAACAGCTGATAGAACACGGATCAAAGAGACGGGACGCACCTGAGAGTACCACCCATAAGCGAAGACGAAGAGCTGGGTACCGTACCAGAGGAAATTGAAGATTGCGCGTGAAGGGGTCAAGAATTCCCGCTTGACCCAGCCCTCAAATCCAGTAGGTTCCTTAGCCATCCTTTCCAGAGGAATGACAATGAGACGAGAGTATACGCGATATCAGGCAAAGGAGGGAGAATCCGACGCTCAACGTCGGTCGGGGGAGAGGTGAGAGGTGAGGGACCGAGGGGGAGGTATCCAGCGCCCAGATATGAAAGGGTGACCGTTGAAATAGGTGTTTGATTTGTCGGTTTGTCCGTTGCCGTCTGTCATAGCCATCAACCGGTAGAATAGGGCGGACCGTTGATGCATGGTGACCGAAGAGACCTCTCCTGAGCGGAGAAGACGGCGGGAAGGGTGACCACGGCAACGAGGGACGCGACCCGTACGACCCGCGCCATTCTCGGTCTCCTCAACTCAATGGCAGAGAGCCACAAGGAACCGTAGCCAAGACTTTTTACTCTTTTCACATCTAAGCATTTAACACGGTTACGGAGATGCACAACTGTTGATGTGAGCTGATTGTAACACGATTGACTTCCACGAACAGCGGGATGTTCGTCGTGTTATCGATAACTTGATACTTGACAGCTCACTCAACTATCAGACAATGCTTAAACAATACGCCGTCCATCATCGTGAATATAGGTGCGGAGGACTAAACATGCATAGTCAGCGAGGTGAATATGCAAGAAAGGCTGCTCGTCGCTTCCAACTTATCAACCCATTAATCAAGCTAAAAGCCAGCGTCATATCATATATAATTAAGCAATGTTGGTGAACTCTACTTCCCGCTCGCCAACGCGCATAAAAATAGCACCATCAGACTGCAATCTGATCAATACTATCGTATCTACGTTCCAGGCCTCCATCAGGAACTGGCACCTGAGGAGATGGCCATCAGAGCTGAGCAGCCGCTGAAACAGGGTTGCGTGGTCGTAATACCACAAACTACAATAGCTCTGCACGAAGTGGTTGCTTGAATTACTATCGATAATTTGCCTTTGTTCTCACATTTCTACTTGATATTTGTAATCTCGTTACATCATAAAGATACCATCTAAATTGTTTTCTCAGAGTCTAATGCAGTCCCCTAAAGCGTATCTCGATCCACCTGAAGGGAATATACAACAGCATGGTAACAACCAACGCCAGCTCAAAGCCTATATCCCCATACCCAGGTATGGCCTGCGCAATAGGACCAATGAACCACACCTCGTTCATCGAAGGTATCACCAGTGCGAAACTGAGGATCCCAGCTGCGAGCGCAGGGATACCACTTGGTAAGCGGCTGGGGGTGTCCCATACCGAGGCGTCGTAGTTTGCGAAGTCGTTGTGGCGGAACAAGAGATGCTCGGTGATGATCGCGCTGCAGAAGGAGGCGGACCAGTAGCCGATCAGGCCGAGGAAGTTGGAGAGCGTCTCGTAGAAAGAATGGGCGCCGACGATCGCTAGTGCGAGCATGCTAACATCACATGAGTCCGGGCATCCAAACAATGAGCTATGAGAACTCACATCGCGAATCCCAAAATGGAGAAGACGTAACGTGGAACGTAGCGTGCCGGCGGGATGAACACCTGGAAGATGAGGCAGAACGAGTAGATGGTCGGGGCGGTGTTGGCCGTGACGGACAGGGCGAGGAGCACTGTGAGGAACTTGCCGAAGTTACCTGCTGGGCGGAGCACGGCTTCGAGTAACCCTCCTACACTGTTGGTGTTGTACGCGTCTTGCCACTCGGGGACGTTGCCCATCCCGATGGCGAATGCCGCACCGAGGATCTGGATGATGACCTGCAGAAGGGATCAGTTTCACTTTCTCATCACATTGTATAGAAAAGGAGACTTGCAATAGGGAGAAAGAGGCCAATATAGGTGTAAGTGAACACCTTCCAACTAGGCACTTCCGGTTTCATGTATGCCGTATAATCGCTCATCATCCCACAAAACGAGATCACGAAGCCTGCGATTGTTGCTCCGAACGTGAGCACTCCTCCAGCCGTGGCGGGCTCTGTTGGCGGCGGGGCGGCGATAGACTTGGCCCCAATACCGATCACGACAAGGTATACGATCCAGACGGGCATCCACGCGTACCGCTCATAGAAGTGGAGGACTTTGTACCCGCAGAAGGATAGCTGTGCGATGAGTGAGTTGTTGTCTTTACCGCGGAATGGATTGGGCGTACTGCGAGTGTGAGCACTGAGACGATAACTATCCCCACTGTCCAGCTAACGCTCCCATCCGACACGCTCGCTAGCGTTTGACCACCGAGGATAGCACTGAGGATGTTGAACCCCATCATGGACGCCAATGCGAGAATGCAAGGAACGGCAATTGGCCAATAGCTGGGAAGATGTGAGCATCGCTTGACCTCTGACGTGAGGCGCATATACTCACCCGTAGGTGTACCGTGCATGCACCATCTGACGCATTCCCATCTTTGGGCCGAACGTCGCCCTGAGCCTCTGTGAATACGTCGCTTGCGGCGTGTGGGAAGGGTGCTCACAGGTACGCAGGAAAGCTCACGCATAGCAGGTTGAAGAATAAGATGACAAGGCATGAGTCTCGCAGGCCCAGTCCGTAGAACAGCGGTCCAAGGGTACCAGCAGAGAAGGAGAGGATGTTGCTGTTTGCCGACAGCCAGATGAAGAATGCTTTGCTGAACTGGGGGTCTGTTCGATCTTCCAATGCAACAGGCAGTGTTCCTGCTCTCCGTTGTTAACACTTCCAGGAGAACTTGATAATGAGACGTACCTCGGGTTTCAATGCCGCTCAGGAGTAGTCGGTATACCCAGCTCCGGTGTCGTACTTTCTCAATCTGCGCCTCCTCCCAGCCACTATGCAAGGCCTTGTTGTCCATGTTACAGAGCAACGTAGAATATACAAAGTCAAGCGACCAGCAATAATAATGATGAGAGAGGAGAGAGAGTGAGGTACCCGGTTCTATTCCATGACCATAAGGTGTGTTGCAATATAACTGACTCGAGCGCCAATGCTCCCATATTTACACCAAACTCGCCGCCAATTGTCAGGGCCGATGGCCGATGATGACGGTTTGCGTCCCTTTCGGACCTTCCAAAATTTACCTCCGTTTCTTGTAAAACCTCGGCAAGCACCTCTCTCTTTCGTCTTTTCAATTGCCAGCTGGACGACGACGGTGAGGAGCACTTTTTGGTTTACTCAGATCCTGTCTCTCGCCTGCGACCCAACTTGGGGAGCAGAAGAACGGCTGGCAGACCGACCTCGCGCCTTGAGTTCGGACGGTTCACTTTTTTTATGCGACCGTTCGAAATTTGGCAAGCGATACACCTACTGCATGCGAATGCCACCGCTGCTGCCAAATAAAATGACTTGTTTACTCGGTCAGAATCCCATATATGAATTAATGTTTGCCGGCAATATCGACAGAGCCGCCGATTGTTATCAGTATAGGTGACGAAACAATAAATGGTACATTGTTCCACATGTCTTGAAGTCGAACGTGGGCGCAGCCAAGTATTATGGGAAGGGCCTGTAGAATGGCTGTAAACAGTTGTAAACGACTCCACTAGAATAAAGCAGGAGTAATTCCATTCTCGTGGAGCTATCATTCCCACCGATCATCAACGCAGGGTGGCTCATCACCCAACCGACCTATCTTCGTACAAAGGCAGAAAGTTGATGACAATCTTATGTCTCATCACCCCCATATCTCACATCCGCGTTCTGCTCCAACCATGCCATCCAGTTCTTCAGATACGTCCCACCTTGACTAACCGTCTCCGAATCCCCCACCACACACAGATGGCGTCTCGGCCGTGTCATGGCCACGTTCAGCCGCCGCTTCTCCCGCAGAAATCCAACTTCGCGCTTATCGTTACTTCGTACAAGACTGAGCACGACCGCTTCCTTCTCGCGACCTTGCATACCATCTACAGTTCCTATTTCTAGGTCCGGCATATCGGCCCGTAGAAGGGAGGTGAGGTAGGTAACTTGGGCTTGATATCTGCGAAAACGCGGAAAGGACGGAATGTGATTAGTTGCTCCGTGATTATCAGAAGTTAGATGACCCACGGCGTGATGACTGCTATCTGCCCCGGTGCCACACCTGCCATGACGAGCTTCTGCACCCACCGCTGCACCGCAGCACCCTCGTTCTCGTTGGACTTGCTCCCTTCGTCCAGGCCCCCACTGAGTCCGTCAGCTTCGGTACGTTCAAAGAACTCGCAACCTGCCGTGTCGAAGAATACTACGGGAGGAGTGACGACATCTGAAAATTCATCGTCCTTCGATACGGTGGGCAGATCGCGAAGTAAGTGAGCGGCGACCGACTCGTGAGATTTCAACTTCGACCGGTACAATGTTGTGGAGGGGAATTGACAGATAATGGCATGCATGCTGCGGTTCTGATCAGAATACGCTGCCGATCCAGGAGTAACCAGCTTACCGGTACTGGACCGTGAGCATCTTCTTCACACGAGGGAACATTCGCTCCACCCGATCAAACAGCGTCACTTCCAGAGAATGCGGAAGGCGGAGCCGACAGATCTTCTTGCTGCTCGGTTCTGCTTTTCGCTCAGCTTGCTGCGACGGTTCCGATGCTGCCGGTTTTTCCTCGCTGTCGGCACCGGCGTCATCACTTTCTTCCTCGAGTTCTTCATCATCAGACTCTGGCAGTGTCACTTCATCCAACGGCTCGCTCGGTGTTTCTGTCTTGGCAGTGCTTTCTTTCTTTTCCTTGGGTGTCGTTTTCTTCGGCGAGTTTTCCGAGTCGAGCGATAAAACTGTGGGTGGGAGTTGTAATGGATCACCCGCTAGAATAAGTTTCTTCGCTTTGAGGATTGGTATCCAGCAAACCGCCTCCATAGCCTGCGTTGCCTAAAGGAGTGTGAAAAGAGCGTCCTAGTAGTTAGCATCAACCTCGCATACCTCGTCAATGATGACCACATCGAACTGCGAGTTCTGCAATTGCCTGCTGCCGGCTCCATGACACGTACTCAAAACGACCTTAGCTCGTCCCATAACAGCCTTGACAGCTCCTCCCTCTCGCTTTCTCCACTCCTTCCTCAGGCCCTTCACCTCGTCCCACATCTTCTTCCTCTCCGCACCTCTTATCCTCGCCTTCCCCTTTCCAGCCAGTGCACTCATGGCACTGTCAATATCCGCTTTGACGTCTTTTGCGAGCTGGGACTCGTCCGATGCTGCTGTCTGGGCGTCGAGTGTCGAGGACTGGAGGGACTGGAGCACACGTGCAGGGTGACCAAGGCGTGTGACTGGGATACCGTGTGGGACGAGACGTTCGAGTAAGTTGTCTGAATACCTGTTAGGCACTCCTAACTGTGACTTGCTTGAGCCGTCTCACCGACAGCCAAGTTGCTAGCTCCGCAAACTAGCACCTTCTGTTCTTTAGCCACAAGTTGCCGTATGATCTCCACTAAAGTATGCGTCTTGCCCGTCTACTAATCCTTCGCAATCAACAGTCATCCGCTTCCCAAGCAGATCACTCACTCCGGGAGGTCCATGAATCAACGCCACTTCTGGTGCCTGTAATGCTGCACGTACGGCATTCTTCTGGCTGAGGTTTAGGGAGGGGTCCATGAATTGCAGATCAGTGACTGGGACTGGAGGCGAGGGCGGGTAGATGCCTAACAAGATCTCGACTAGTCTGGATACGGCGGGTGAGGAGCCTGAGGCGGGGAGAACTAGGCGCTCGAGAGCATCTATTGCCTTATCCATCCTGTTATTTATCAGGAAATTGTAGCACAAGGGGAATGAAGCTATCGAACCGGTCGTATGTGACAGTGTTCGCCAGTTTCAACCTGCGCATACATTAATATTTTGCATGGATGCGAATGATAGACCCACACTCTACACCTCTCAGGCAGATCCAGATCCTCCGATTCCTGTGCGCCTCTATCACCATCAATGGCAATGACAATCTTAGTGTCTGAGACGCGGTAGACGACGCCCTCGACCGCTTTTCCTGTTTCTCCTGTTTCTCCATTGGTTGCTTTCTTTCCTTTGATCGGTTTACGTGCGCTGGAGACAACGTGTTGATCGATGCGCGCGAGGTCGCCGGGTCTGTAATACTTAAGAGGGATGATCCTCCTGAAAGCGCATGGAGACATACCTGAATGTATGCGGGGAAAAAAATATCGGCGAGGTATGATATGCCGTCGGTCTCTCGAGCTCAACCAAGCTGTCACAACCCGACCATAACGTCAGCACCTTCCATCTCGCTGGTCCCAAGATGCGCACCTCTTTCCGCCCAGCCCCAGCTCCACTCCAGCAACACCAAGTCCGCCCAGTGCCAAGCCTCGCTGCTCGAGTAGCTTCGGTGAGCATTTCGAGAAGAGCAAGGAAGTGCGTTCTATATCCGCCGCCCGCTCGGCGGCAAGGAGCTCGCGTTGTCGGGTAAGGAATGCGGAGAGCTGCTCCGGTGTGGGTATCGTCTTACGGCGCATTAATTGTTCAGCAATCCGGGGAAGGGGTAATGTGTATGCACTATGTGGTCAGCTGGGAAAGTGCGCCATCCCTGCAGGGGGGCTGGGAGGAATTGCCGCGCTGAGCCGCGCGCGGCCGCGTCAGGGTCCCAATTGGGCAGAGGTCGAGTGTTGACATCAATAAGCTGTTGATTATTTGAGTGAAAAGTAATAACACAGTCCAATGTTCCAATGCAGACAGGGACTCCATATGTGTGGGCAAATTGTTGATTATTACATTGAAAAGTAACAAGATATTTTTGATGTCATTACAAAAAGGGGAAGGACCCCGCACCGAGGGGTGCCGCGCTGTTCAGGAATGAGGGAATTCCTCCGGTGCCCCCTCTTCGGAGATATTCACAGCATGGTGAAGGGTCCTGTGCTGTGCTTTACCAAGGTTAACTTATTAGCTTGGTATAGCATCACTCCATGTATATCCAGATTAGATCAGACGAGTCTATGCAACATCTCAGCAGGTCATCTAAGTTGATTTATCTATTTCTTATCTGGGCAGTATATGATATGAGTAATTTATACTATATGATTCATACCACACCCATCTTTATTAAGGCAACATCTTGACTATCATAATAAGCTATATAAAGCTAACACTGGTAACACTGGATTGGCCACCACATATTTTGACTGGGTATGTATATGTCCATTGTATTCCAGCAATACCATGTCATTCATATATTGATATAAGATGTATTGTCTTGTTGTGCATTGCACTCACACAAGTAGATCAAGCAGTCAAACAAGTGTTTATTCACCATGAGGCACAATCTACAATGTATCACAAGGTATCTGTCTACTCATGACCCATCATGATCCTCCCTTTCATCGCCAAGTCCTCCAGGATGCCAAACAGCACCTCATCAATTGCAATCCCTTTCACCCTGCAGAAGATAAACATGACTTTTCTGATGTCAGTTGCACTCCTGCTGGGGGAACAGAGACACTCACTGAGAAGAATGATGAAGGTACATGGGTTGTACCTCATAACTGTTGAGCAACTGATGATGGCCAGCTGGATCCACAGCAAGAGCATACCAATCCCCTCAGCCACTTGGTATCCTGCCCAAGCCCACCACTTGTACTCTGACACCACTTCATTCTTCTCGAAGAATGTGCTGATGGTGCCCAGCATCTGCACAATCCTCCCAAAGGGATCTGCAAGCCCATCATAGCCAGCATGGGCATTGGGACCCAGTGGCAGCCTTGAGGATGGAGTCAAGCCCACACTAGCCAAGCTAGATGAGAAGGCCAATTCTTGAGGGTGTGCTTGACCCACATGATGATACTCCTCATTGACAGCCTGACAGGCTACGTCACTGCCCTGCATGCAATTGTGGAGCATGGACTTGAGCTCCTCAGCCATCGGCACCCGGGGTAGAGGGGGGGAGGCAATGACTGTGCCATCCTCATCATCATCTTCAGGGATGGGCAATAATGAGGGAGCAAATGGAGGGATGGGTTCCTATCAGAGCATCAGCCTGGGTCCAACACACAACAAGACAAGTATTGTCTTATTATGAACAGAAACATGCACCATTGCATCCTGCGCATATATTGCATCCAGCACCATTATTGCAGTAGCTGTATCTCCACCCTCCAGAACATGCAAGTACAGGTCGTAATACATCAAATGCTTGAGCCTGGGATTGTGCAGATACACCAGAGTGGTCCCCATGTCATTGGGATGTGCATTGTTGCGAGTGGCAGATGAGGCCTTGTTGGGATCATCTTGGGAGTACACTGACCCCAAGCTCACAGAATTGGCTTCATTTTCATTGCTCCTATGGGGCAGGTGATCCTTAGAACTCCCACCCTGGGAGTTCTCCTCCACCATCTTTCCCTTTCCCTTCACCCCATCCTTGGCATGCCTATTTGGCTCCAGGACTTCCCCAAGCACAACCTCCTTGCTCCTGTCACCCACCACCATCTCAGCAAAACCCAGTCCCCATCCTTTGTCTGCCTTGAGTAAAGACATTGTCTTGCCAGTGCCATGTGTTGGTCTTTCTTGTTGTATGTGTCAATGAAGGTGATGGTCAAGATTGAAGTGGTATGCTGAACCTGTTAGGGCAACACAGGCTGACTAAGTCTGCTCACCTAAGAGTGCCAAGAGTCTAAGCAGGCAACAAGGAAGTGGAATAGACCTGATGACTAAGACCTATCTACAGTATAGGTA